GGTAAGAGTTGGGGTGTCTAAATTTAAAACAGGAGATGTTTTCGCCTAGTCACATTTTACGTGTCTATGGAATTTTTTTTTTAATTTTATTTCTTTCTGAAAGGGTTTTGTGTATATAAAAAACTATATTTTCATATTTTCTATATATTTTCACACACACACACACACACACACACACACACACACACACACACACACACACACACACACACACACACACACACACACACACACACACATATATATATATATATATATGCCGTTACAATATTTTTCGCACACTTAAGAAGACCGCGCGGCACACTAGTATGCCACGGCACGAGTTTGAGAATTACTGTATAATAACAATATAGACGTTATTTGGCAGATTAGGTAGCTTATTTCTTGTTATTGAGTTCGTTTCAAAGTGTGTTTTCATATTCATAATTAATCAACGACATTCTTTTGGTCTCCTGGGACGTGCAAAAAGATTAACTTGTCGTTTTTGTTTTTCAGTCGATGAATTCCTCCATGTCCCGCTGACGCAGCCGATACCACCATGGCGGATATTGCCACCTCTAGTTTGTCTACAATGCAGGATCTCTCGGATAGTTCGCCTACAACATCTATTAAAACCACTGATTGGTTGGAAACAACAGTTAGAACTACAAGTGAGACATCAAAGACAAGTCTGGCGGATGTATAAGCCGACGCATGCGCAAACCGAAGTGAATCAGATGACAGAAACACATCAACAATTCAGAGTAAGTTTAAGATAATTTTGAAAGATCTATACGAATCAATATTTGGAACCGTATAAACAAGAATATTGGTTCAATTTTTCCGTACTGCGAGGCTATATATTCTTCCACAAGAAGTCAAACAATTCGTAAATGTAAAGGAAGAATGAGCATACTAGGAAAAATGTACCATATTTGAGAATTTTCTAAGCATTAGTCCTTTTGTCACTTCTTCCTCTACGATTCTCTTCTATATTTTTTCATATATAAATATTTCACATTTATTATATGCACAACATGCAAACCAATAGAGCCACTAAGCAAACCAGTAAAGCCACTAAGACACAATGGGCTACAGGGTGTGGAGGAATTAGGAACAGAAACATTAATAATTAGCGGGAAGAGGAGAGAGTAATTAGGAGGACAGTAGATGGCGATTGACATTGCATTTAAATTTCTGCAGATTAAAGTTGGCTGAAAAAGCATGGAACCGGAATGGAGTTACAAGCGAGAAGTGCGAAAATAAACTGTTAGTATATATATATATATATATATATATATATATATATATATATATATATATATATACCAGGTGTAACAGCAGAATTGTCCAAATCGTATAACAGCATAGGATAATTGTCCATCTCTCAAAATGTTTAGTATCTAAAAAAAAAAAAAAAACACTAAACTAATAGAGTTCCTTTTTCAGGTTTTCAGAGAAAAAGTTTAGCCATCTTGACACCTTTTGTCGTAAGAATGACTGAAAAACCTTTTGATTTATTCAGCTAGAAACATAACAGGTTAAAATAGTTTTGAATCAACCCCAACTGAGCAATACTGAGGGGAAAAAAGATTATTCAAACCTTCAGTAATTCTACCAACACTCATACTCTGGCTTCCATCTTCAAAGTCCATTCAAGAACCATCAAGAGAACGATGAATAAGTTTAGAGAAGGGGGGTGGGGTCAGTAGAGAGGAAACCAGGATCAGGAGGTCACAACAGGAAGAGGGATCATCATTTCAACCTAGAGCTAAACAGATCAATTAGAAAAGACCCAACTCAATCCATAGGACGTTTGGCACGTGAGAGAGGAGTTTCCGCTATGACAGTTCAAAGAGCAGTGAAAAAAGACTTGAAAATGAAATCATACGTGAAACCTGTGAGGCAACTTATTTACCCCAGGACAGAAATCTAGAAGGTTAGAAGGCGAAGATCATCTTGAATAAGATGAAAATGATCTAGGAATAATATATATATATATTTGAACGTTATTTCAATCCTTCATGAGCTTCCGATCCTTAGCTCTGATTAATTAATGATGAAAATGTCATTTACGTTAATGATCGATTTCATCACGATTCTACTCTTAAGCTTGAAGAATAATTATACATTCTTAATGCTCAAAGTAGAGATCAATAGTTTTACAAAAACCTCTAGAATTCCAGTAAGATATCTTTAATCATTTCTAAGATATAACGGTTTAGCTCTTAATCTAACAGATGGACAATTTTTTATACGATTTGGACAATCACAATATTGATCCATATTTTTTAATCCAATCTAAGCTTTCGGATTACATAAGCCATTATCGAAGATGTCAATATTGTGATTTTCTTTCTTCGTTTAATGATAATGTTATTAAACTTATCAGACGTTATGAAAAGAATTTACATAAAATAAATAGACAACACTTGTCTAAATTATTTAATGAAACATGTTTGAAATATATATATATATATATATATATATATATATATATATATATATATGCGTGCCGTGACATATTTCGCGGCACACTTAAGAGGATCGCCCGGCACACTAGTGTGCCATGACACGGCGGTTGAGAATCACTATGGTAGGCTCTGACTGACCTCTTCACAGGCATATATAGCCTATATTTACTACAGTCTTGTACTCAAAATGAGGCTCCTTCCCTTGAATATCTGTTGGGTCTAAAACTCACTCCGGACCGCAAGTGGAACTCATCAGCGTTAAAGATGCCGGAAGATTGGTCAGTTCTTTTTTATCGTTCCAGAAAATACATCATTATTATTATTAAAATTTTAATACTTATATATATATATATATATATATATATATATATATATATATATATATATATATATATATAATTATTATTTTAAAAATATGATTCAACACGCTACATAAGAGGTCTCATGTTTCAAAACAAGAGCGAAAAACTTCAATATAATTATTTGAATTAAATTGAATTAAAGTAAGCTCTATTTCCATCTTCAACGAAATTTTTTTGGAATAACTTATTTCTGAAATTTACGTGTTTTAATAGCATATTCATTATTGAAATCAAAATTTCATGGTAAAGGGCCAGAGCGATTGTTTAAATAGGAGGGGTGTTGAGTGTTAATAATTTGTATCAGTATAGAGTTACATCCATAGATGTCAAGTCAGGAGTAAGGTTGGGTGTCTAAATTTAAAACAGGAGATGTTTTTCGCCTAGTCTGGTTTACGTGTCTATGGAGATTTTTTTTTTTTTAATTTTATTTCTTTCTGAAAAGGGTTTGTGTATATAAAAAAACTATATTTTCATATTTTCTATATATTTTCACACACACACACACACACACACACACACACACACACACACACACACACACACACACACACACACACACACACACACACACACACACATATATATATATATATATATATATATATTAATATTTCAAGCACGTTAAGAAGATTCAAATAAAACTAGTATGCCACGGCACGGAGTTTGAGAATTACTGTATAATGTAATATAGACGTTATTTGGCAGATTAGGTAGCTTATTTCTTATTATTGAGTTCGTTTTCAAAGTGTGTTTTCATATTCATAATTAATCAACGACATTCTTTTGGTCTCCTGGGACGTAAAAAGATTAACTTGTCGTTTTTTGTTTTCAGTCGATGAATTCACTCCATGTCCCGCTGACGCAGCCGATACCACCGCGGATATTGCCACCTCTAGTTTGTCTACAATGCAGGATCTCTCGGATGGTTCGCCCTACAACATCTATTAAAACCACTGATTGGTTGGAAACAACGGTTAGAACTACATATGAGACATCAAAGACAAGTCTGGCGGATGTATACAAAAGCCGACGCATGCGCAAACCGAAGTGAATCAGATGACGAAACACATCAACAATTCAGAGTAAGTTTAAGATAATTTTGAAAGATCTATAAGAATCAATATTTGGAACCGTATAAACAAGAATATTGGTTCAATTTTCCGTACTGCGAGGCTATATATTCTTCCACAAGAAGTCAAACAATTCGTAAATGTAAAGGAAGAATGAGCATACTAGGAAAAATGTACCATTTGAGAATTTTCTAAGCATTAGTCCTTTGTCACTTCTTCCTCTACGATTCTCTTCTATATTTTTCATATATAAATATTTCACATTTATTATATGCACAACATACAAACCAATAGAGCCACTAAGCAAACCAGTAAAGCCACTAAGACACAATGGCTACAGGGTGTGGAGGAATTAGGAACAGAAACATTAATAATTGGCAGGAGGAGAGGTAAAGGAGGACAGTAGATGGCGATTACATTGCATTTAAATTTCTGCAGATTAAAGTTGGCTGGAAAGCATGGAACCGGAATGGAGTTGCACAAGCGAAGTGCGAGAAAATAAACTGTTATATATATATATATATATATATATATATATATATATATATACCAGGTGTAACAGCAGAATTGTCCAAATCGTATAACAGCATAGGATAATTGTCCATCTCTCAAAATGTTTAGTATCTAAAAAAAAACAAAAAAAAAACACTAAACTAATAGAGTTCCTTTTTCAGGTTTTCAGAGAAGAAGTTTAGCCATCTTGACACCTTTTGTCGTAAGAATGACTGAAAAACCCTTTGATTTATTCAGCTAGAAACATAACAGGTTAAAATAGTTTTGAATCAACCCCAACTGAGCAATACTGAGGGGAAAAAAGATTATTCAAACCTTCAGTAATTCTACCAACACTCATACTCTGGCTTCCATCTTCAAAGTCCATTCAAGAACCATCAAGAGAACGATGAATAAGTTTAGAGAAGGGGGGTGGGGTCAGTAGAGAGGAAACCAGGATCAGGAGGTCACAACAGGAAGAGGGATCATCATTTCAACCTAGAGCTAAACAGATCAATTAGAAAAGACCCAACTCAATCCATAGGACGTTTGGCACGTGAGAGAGGAGTTTCCGCTATGACAGTTCAAAGAGCAGTGAAAAAAGACTTGAAAATGAAATCATACGTGAAACCTGTGAGGCAACTTGTTACCCCAGGACAGAAATCTAGAAGGTTAGAGAGAGCGAAGATCATCTTGAATAAGATGAAAATGATCTAGGAATAATATATATATATATTTGAACGTTATTTCAATCCTTCATGAGCTTCCGATCCTTAGCTCTGATTAATTAATGATGAAAATGTCATTTACGTTAATGATCGATTTCATCACGATTCTACTCTTAAGCTTGAAGAATAATTATACATTCTTAATGCTCAAAGTAGAGATCAATAGTTTTACAAAAACCTCTAGAATTCCAGTAAGATATCTTTAATCATTTCTAAGATATAACGGTTTAGCTCTTAATCTAACAGATGGACAATTTTTTATACGATTTGGACAATCACAATATTGATCCATATTTTTAATCAATCTAAGCTTTCGGATTACATAAGCCATTATCGAAGATGTCAATATTGTGATTTTTTCTTCGTTTTAATGATAATGTTATTAAACTTATCAGACGTTATGAAAAGAATTTACATAAAATAAATAGACAACACTTGTCTAAATTATTTAATGAAACATGTTTGAATATATATATATATATATATATATATATATATATATATATATATATATATATATATATATGCGTGCCGTGACATATTTCTTGGCACTTAAGAAGGATCGCCTTGGCACACTAGTGTGCCATGACACAACAGTTGAGAATCACTATGGTAGGCTCTGACTGACCTCTTCACAGGCATATATAGCCTATATTTACTACAGTCTTGTACTCAAAAATGAGGCTCCTTCCCTTGAATATCTGTTGGGTCTAAAACTCCTCCGGACCGCAAGTGGAACTCATCAGCGTTAAAGATGCCGGAAGATTGGTCAGTTCTTTTTTATCGTTCCAGAAAATACATCATTATTAAAATTTTAATAATATTATATATATATATATATATATATATATATATATATATATATATATGTATATAATTATTTATTTAAAAATATGATTCCAACACGCTACATAAGAGGTCTCATGTTTCAAAACAAGAGCCGAAAACTTCAATATAATTATTTGAATTAAATTGAATTAAAGTAAGCTCTGTTCCATCTTCAAGCGAAATTTTTTTTGGAATAACTTATTTCTGAAATTTACGTGTTTTAATAGCATATTCATTATTGAAATCAAAATTTCCATGGTAAAGGCCAGAGCGATTGTTTAAATAGGAGGGGGTGTTGAGTGTTAATAATTTGTATCAGTATAGAGTTACATCCATAGATGTCAAGTCAGGGTAAGGTTGGGGTGTCTAAATTTAAAACGGGAGATGTTTTCGCCTAGTCTGGTTTACGTGTCTATGGAGATTTTTTTTTTTTTTAATTTTATTTCTTTCTGAAAGGGTTTTGTGTATATAAAAAAAACTATATTTTCATATTTTCTATATATTTTCACACACACACACACACACACACACACACACACACATATATATATATATATATATATATGCCGTTACAATATTTCGCGGCACACTTAAGAAGACCGCGCGGCACACTAGTATGCCACGGCACGGAGTTTGAGAATTACTGTATAATGTAATATAGACGTTATTTGGCAGATTAGGTAGCTTATTTCTTGTTATTGAGTTCGTTTCAAAGTGTGTTTTCATATTCATAATTAATCAACGACATTCTTTTGGTCTCCTGGGACGTGTAAAAGATTAACTTGTCGTTTTTTGTTTTTCAGTCGATGAATTCACTCCATGTCCCGCTGACGCAGCCGATACCACCATGGCGGATATTGCCACCTCCAGTTTGTCTACAATGCAGGATCTCTCGGATAGTTCGCCTACAACATCTATTAAAACCACTGATTGGTTGGAAACAACGGTTAGAACTACAAGTGAGACATCAAAGACAAGTCTGGCGGATGTATACAAGCCGACGCATGCGCAAACCGAAGTGAATCAGATGACAGAAACACATCCAACAATTCAGAGTAAGTTTAAGATAATTTTGAAAGATCTATACGAATCAATATTTGGAACCGTATAAACAAGAATATTGGTTCAATTTTCCGTACTGCGAGGCTATATATTCTTCCACAAGAAGTCAAACAATTCGTAAATGTAAAGGAAGAATGAGCATACTAGGAAAAATGTACCATATTTGAGAATTTTCTAAGCATTAGTCCTTTTGTCACTTCTTCCTCTACGATTCTCTTCTATATTTTTTCATATATAAATATTTCACATTTATTATATGCACAACATGCAAACCAATAGAGCCACTAAGCAAACCAGTAAAGCCACTAAGACACAATGGGCTACAGGGTGTGGAGGAATTAGGAACAGAAACATTAATAATTAGCGGGAAGAGGAGAGAGTAATTAGGAGGACAGTAGATGGCGATTGACATTGCATTTAAATTTCTGCAGATTAAAGTTGGCTGGAAAGCATGGAACCGGAATGGAGTTGCACAAGCGAGAAGTGCGAGAAAATAAACTGTTATATATATATATATATATATATATATATATATATATATATATATATATGTGTGTGTGTGTGTGTGTGTGTGTGTGTGTGTGTGTGTGTGTGTGTGTGCATGGCTGCATCCAGCTAAACGGTAAATTGATGAGATCTCGACGCCATTTTAGTACTGCGCTTAAACTAAAAAGTCTAGGCACCATAGCGAAGTGCTCACGCGAAAAATTACCACGAAATCTCTATCTATAAAAGGCAGGATGTGTGTGTGTGTGTGTGTGTGTGTAACGAATGCACGGCCGCAATTTTCGACGGATTTGCACCAAAATTTACATGCACATGCTCCAAGTTAGTGGGAAGGCCAAAACCGACTTTGCATTTCCCAACTTCCATCGATAATGGAAATAATCGATTTTTTGATGCTTCTACGACAGTTTTCATGTAGTTTGCAGCCATTTTGTACTGGCCAGATTGAGACCCTATAGCTGGCTGCCACGAATAGGCAAGAAGATTCTATTGGCCAGCGTGAGAGCCAACAGCTGACTGACACGAATGCTAACTAGCATGCTAGGATGCAAAAAAACAAAAACAAAAAAACAAACTGATAGCTGCATTCGTCACAAGTGGGAAAAAATTAAGCCTGCATGGCACTTTACTCCAATTGGCTCATTCGCTTGCTTAAACTCAACGTTGATTCTGATTCCGCAGAACTGGGTTGGGTGTGAAAAAGTATTTGTTGTTAACATTCTTTTTTCATTCGGTTCTTCCACTTACGAGTCCTTTTTTTTTTTTAAGCTGATCGTTTTGTGTTCATTTTGTTTAGTTTTTTTTCGTAACAGATTTAATGTTTAGTATAGAGCTTAGAAAAAAAATTGTAGTGTGAGATAGGCAAGAAGTAAGGCATGTAGCAACATCAGCACAGCAAAGGGCACTCCTTTAAAGGCAAGGAAGGGCAAAAATATTCAAGTGATAGCGATTGCTGTATGAGTCGTACGATTTTTGAATCAAGCACGAGTAACGCCGGGCCATGCTGCTAGTCATTTATAAAAAAGACACAGAGAGGCAACCTCATGGCAGTGGGAAAGTGACTGAAGCCGAGCTGCCAGATCGGAACCAATAACATTGCTAATTCTTTGGATTTTATCAAGGAGTTCAATGTGAACAGCAGGGGGGGGGCTTTCCATATGTGTCAGCAATATTCCAAGCATGAACGAATGGTAGACTTATAGATATGTAAGATAGATTCTGGAGAGAAAAATTATCTCGCACCACACAGTGAACCAACTTTCTTAGCGGTTGACCTAGTAGTTGATTTAATATAGTATTTCCTCTTCATGTCAGCTGATGTAGCACAAGGCAGAAAATATAGGGCACTCAGTGAGGATCGAACTCACTGTTTAGTCGTAATTGATCTTGTGAGACAATCTTGCTAAGCATTATACAACGTCGATGTTCTCACACATACGTCGCAGTATGGGGAGTAATACGCAATAGAAAATGAAAAAATATAGAAGAGAATCGTAGAGGAAGAAGTGACAAAAGGACTAATGGTTTGTATTCAACTGAATCACTGAAGCAGCTGTGTCCGAAGTAGATAAACCGACGTCCATGAATGGATGATTCTTGTCGGATTCTATTTCTATATTCCTGATGATTCACACAGTTTGCTCAACTGGACGAAGTATATAGATCTAGAGTGGCGCGATAAAAGCTACAATAAGATTAAGAAAAACTAGTAATGAAATAATAATAATAATAATAATAATAATAATAATAATAATAATGAAAAGTGTATTGTCCTGAATGTTGCGATCGTAGCTACTCTGTTTCACGCTTCAGTAACTCCTTCATTGATTTTCAGTAGATTCCTAGCCGATATTATGAAATTGCTTTCTTGGATGAAATGCGTAAGTGAACTCAGAAATATCATTTATCGGAGAGATGCTACACACTGAGAAAGACCGGCTGATACTACCCTCTGATCCTAGCTAGAAAAGTGTATCGATTAGTCATACAAACGAACAGTATAGATGAGAAAAACCGGAGAGCGGTCAGATACTATACTCTGATCCTAGCTAGAAAATGCGTAATAGTAGGACATAGAAACAAGTAGAATGGAATAAGGATCACAATGGCATTTGATCGGACTTATACTACACTTTGATCCTAGGTAGAAAAATGCATCAGTCCTACCTACAAAAATGCAGAATACTGCTAAAATCAAAGAAGAGAGTATAGGCCTAGAATGCTGTCATAAACAGAAACTAAGATGGTGTAAAAATAACAAAAACTTATAACCAGTTAACTCCTGATGACGAGGATTTTTTTCTCTCTTTTTTTAGCGTCAAGAGAAACGGGCAGCTATCCGCCATCACCCGACCAATTTGTTTCTGTTCTCCCGAGTCCGACACCGAAAATGAGTGATCATATGTCTACCTCTTCGCTGGCTGCAATTATAACAGGGGTCATTTGTTTTATCATTCTGGTTGTTATTGTCACCATAGTTACCGTGAAGCGGTTAAAAGGAAAGACCTTGTCTTGTCACGTAAGCACTTCGTTACATATAAATCCGTTGTTCACAGCCGAATGAGAGAAAAAGAAATTCAACAAAGGCCGAGGCGTTCTTTTGACTTTGGAATTTGATGGCGCGGGAAAATGAGACCAACACGTGTCTCTTCAGAACACGACAATAAAGGACAATAATTATCGGTTAACTGGGCCACCGTTTAACCGGGACGCGTTTATTTGAGCCAAATCTTGAGGAACCAAGACAAATCGAATCCAGGTAAAAAAAAAAGTCACAAAAAAAAAAAAAAAATCACAGGAATAAAAGTCACAAGGAAAAACTCACAGGAAAAAAAGAAAATTAGCGAAGTTAGCACCCAGCGGACAAAAACGCAGTGGACAAAATTTAGTGGACGAAATCCAACCCTTTTATCCCAGTGTCATAAATAAATTGAAAATCTAAGGACCATTTAATGTCAAATTGAGACTTTCTTCTCATAAAGCCATGTCTTACGGGATACCAGAGCTCCGGAAGTATGAAATATATCGAATATACAGTGGCTATTCTACGGGGAGAGGAAAGAAAGGGCCAATGCTTCAAGCGAATTTTGGCTGGCCCCTCAGTTAGCCCTCCCCACATTTCGTAGAGGAAAAAATTCAGAGCAGACAAATTACACTCTTCTGCTAATATTGACGTTAATATTAACCCTTTGATTTTTGTTTTGAAGTTAACCCCTCTCTTGAGGTCCAACAGCTTGAGAGTGAAAAGAAGGCAAGAATAGATTAGAACTCCGTTACTTTGAATGAATAGTTATTACGTTTAATTTAGTGAAGTAACATACTTATACTAAAAATTAATTCCTAAGTTGAGTATACGATAGTCGTGTAGTATGAAAATAAAGACGCTATTTGAATTTGCCACCCACCCACCGCAGAAAAATCTCGACCCCTAAGGGCCCCCCACCCCAAACACACTTCAGAGTTCCAGAATCGCAATTGCGAATATGTGACCTTAGTTTTTGTTAGGTAACGGTTTTTAGAGGTTGGATCGATTTACTAAGAATTTCTGTTACAAAAAGTGCAGAGCCATAAACTCGTGAAGTACCCGACAGAAATACCGTATTTAATTTTTTTTTTTTTTTATCCTGTGACTTTTCCCTCGCCAAAATTGTGACTTTTTTCAGTGGCCTTTTTTTCCTGTGACTCCGACCGGCCACGGACAATTCAACTCTATGCATAATAATTTCTGACGGTTCAGAATTTTTGAACTATTAATTTCATTCGTTTTGTTAACAAAACCTTTTGATTGATTCCGTCTTCGGCTTTCGTTAGCTGTATGGAGAGAGACAAAAAATGAGCTCTACATTTCTTTTTCACGATATATTTTTTTTAAGCGTTTCCCGCCAAGCAAGGCGGGAAGCCACTAGGACGCAAGGGGTTACAGAAAATTTGGAGTAAGATCAGATAGGAGTGGTACAAGAAAGGATGAGGAGAAGGATAGTGGATAGATCAAGGCAACAGGAGATGTCGATCGACATTACATTTGAATAGCTGGAGATTATAGGTCTCAGGAAAACTGGAATAGGGAAGGGAGTTCCACAGGCGAAAGGTGCGAGACATGAAGCTATTGGAGTAGAAGAGACGGCTACATTTAGGAGTTTCGACAGTGAAAGGGTGAGAGCGTGATGCCAGCCTCGTAGGGCGCTTGAACTCATGAAGTCTGGGAACCAGCGAATGCAGCTCCTCGGAGCAATTTCCATGAAAGTATTTGTAGAACAGACAGAGGGAGGCGACGATGCGTCTGTGAGAAAGTGACTGTAGACAAGATGCCAGAGCAGGGCCAATTATATTGCATATCCGCCTCAAGAACTCCGAGGCAAACAGAAGGGGCACCAGGCCATATATGGCAGCAATACTCTATGCAGGGGCGAATTGTTGATTTCTAGATCTGGTGGATCGATTCCGGGGAGAAAAATCCTATCTATCAACCTTTTATCATTGCTGTTGAAAAGAGTGCGTCCACCCTCTATTCGTCAAGTCATATTTACAGTCCCGTGCCCTTTACTTAAATATAACAAATAGTTATCGATAAATTGGTCAACACTTCATAAAACACCCACTTCCGTGTTAAAAAATGTTTCTGAACGATATTCTAAATTAAGTAATGTTTGTTTTGATTCAGGATAATTAAAATCAACCAACGCTTTTATTCACTGGGCGATGTGTCCCCAAAAGTGACTTGACCCAAAGAGTTGTGAGTTCAATACCTGGCCACAGCAGAGGTTAACAAAAACTTGAAGAGTTGAGTTACTAAAGGGAGATAACTGCAAATGAGCTATCCCAAAAAAGGCATGGCACGTGGAATTAGAACAATCTACCCCAGTGGACTAAATAAAAAAATCCGGTTCGAAATTCCAACATATATCAACTGAAGAAGGCCGGAGTGTACAAAGACCGAAACGTCGTGAAGATGCCAATAAAGAAGACCAGTCCAAACAATGTAAATAATATAAATACATTTATTTATTCTGTGTTCGTTTTTTTTTTTTTTTTTTTTTTTACTGTTTTTGTACTGTTTTTATACTTGTACTGTTTTTTCCTTCTCGGAATTTTTGGTTTGGTTTGTTGTGTTTTACGGTATATCAACCTCAATGGGTTATTTAATGTCGACAACTTTTGTTTTCTGGTAATATTTTGTTTTGTCAAAAATCTATTTCTAGTAATATCTTTTTCCTCAAAAATGTATAGCTGGTAATATTATTTTAAAACATGTATTGCAGGTAATATATATATATATATATATTTTTTTTTTCAAAAACGTATTGCTAGTAATATTTTTTTTTTCAAAAATATATTGCTGGTAACAGTTTTTTCAAAAATATATTGCTGGTAATAGTTTTTTTTCTTCAAAAATTTATTTCTGGTAATAATTATTTACAAAGTATTTCTGGTATTAAAACCTATTGTTACACTTTTATAGTGCTTTTTACCTCAGTTTCGGGGTTAACTATTTGCCCATAGCTGGGCCCCTAACAGGTGCTACCACCCCGGATCAGGGTGGACCTGGGAACACCAGCAATTAAGTGGTGGTTGCACTTTCCTCAAAACCTGATCAGAGGCCTTACTGTCGGTTGCAGTTTATCATCATATATTGTGGTAGTGTTGTACATCATACATTGTGACCAGAATTAAATAATTAAAAAAAAAATTCATACTACTACAGAATAAGCACTCCCGATCAATTATTATTATTAAAGTGTATGAAAGTTAATGGCGGTGAGCTCCTATTTATTATGTAAACTCATTTTAAACTGATTTCATTATTATCTGTCTATATTTCTGAGATGAGGTATTATGTACACTATTTACATTATTCGGACTATTGTCCTCATCTTTGTCGCCATATTTATTACAACGTTTCGGCCTTTCAGTATCTGTCTATATTTCCGAGATGAGGTATTATGTACACTATTTACATTATTCGGACTATTGTCCTAATCTTTGTCGCCATATTTATTACAACGTTTCAGCCTTTCAGTATCTGTCTATATTTCTGGGATGAGGTATTATGTACACCATTTACATTATTCGGACTATTGTCCTCATCTTTGTCGCCATATTCATTACAACGTTTCGGCCATTCAGTATCTGTCTATATTTCTGAGATGAGGTATTATGTACACTATTTACATTATTCGGACTATTGTCCTAATCTTTGTCGCCATGTTTATCACGTTGTACGCTCCGGCCTTCTTCACGTGGTTGGAATGTCGAACTGAACACTTTATTTCGCTCAATGGGGTAGACTGTTCTAGTTCCACGTGCCATGTCATTTCCTGTTAATTCCCCTCTCCAAATTCTCTACCGCCTCAACCAGGTATTGAACTCACACTCTTTGGGTCCTGTCACTGGATCTAACTAACGCTTTTATCCACTGTGGCATGTGTCCTTGAGCGAAATAAATGGTTCAGTGCGACATTCCATCCACCTGAAGAAGGCCGGAGCGTACAACGTCCGAAACGTTGTGATAAACATGGCGACAAAGATGAGGACAATAGTCCGAATAATGTAAACAGTGATTTCATTATTGTTGAAGGGTCCACCCCTTTTTATACAAATGGACTCACTCAGTGTATACTTATACTACTGCCAGTGAATACCCGAGGAGAGCAAGAGTCGAGTCCAGAGTGACAGAGTAAAAGGTTGTAGGAGAGGATGAGATAACAGCGTTGTAGGAGTCACAGTGAGCGAGCACGTAGACTCAGTAAGAAGTCATACAGCGATACTTCAATACCAAAGACTGTATATATATATTTTGCTACTAACCCGTATTCCTGGAACTACTAACCTGCTTTACCAGTTTGTATTATTACGTTAATACATTATTTTCATATATTCATTCCTGGCGTTTGTTATTTATTGGTACCGGATTTCAACCCGGAATTATGTTAGCAAAAATTATGTTCATTTCTTAAAATGTAAAAAAAAAAAAAATCGCTTTTTAAAAATTTGTTGTTAAAAGTCTAGAATCAAGGCCATAAAACAGGGGCCATAATTCGCATGTACTATGAAAAAAAAAAAAAGATGTAACCCGGATATAAGAGACCCTGATATAAGAGAAACCCGGATATAAGAGAGATTTTCTCTGGTCCCAAATTAGAGCCTGTGTTAATGTATATAAAATAGACCAAACCCGGATATAAGGGAAACCCGGATATAAGAGACTTCTTCTCCGGTCCCGACAACTCTCTTATATCCGGGTTTCACTGTATTATATGATTATCTGACCATATCTGTCTTAAATATTATAGCAGTTACTACTGCGTTTATTTTATTAGAACTACGGCAAGGGAGCCCATTGTGACAAAGTCTTTACAAATACCATACAGAAAATCGTACATAATAGATGGCACAAGGCCGTGTTTAAAGTGGGGTCAATTACAAAAAAAGGTAGTCTAGAATATGAGCCATAAAACAGGGGCTATAATTCGCATGTGCAAAAATAAAATTGAACGTAGTTCTGTTAATTAATTACTACTGGAAGCAAACAATTTGTTTGACTGATGCAGACTTTTCTGTTTCACT